CAACTATTGCTACACTATCTTCTGTCTCGCCTCAAGGATTTTCGCGTCCAGGTGTTATTGGGCTGTCCTAATATATGGTTTTTGCAGGAGCGATTTTTATCTCCGATTTTTCTCTCTCTTTATCTATGTTATTATGTGTTGGTTTTCAAAAAAACAAATTGCGCTTTTTGGTGTTTCTTTATTGGGTTTCTTGGGTTTTCCTTTTTGTTTTCCTTTTCCCTTTTTCCCAATATCTTTTCTTTCGGTTTTCTGTGTTGGTTTTCGACAATTCTCTTTTGGGTTTTTGTTTTCTGTTTCTCTCTACTGGTTTTCTTTGTTTATTGGGTTTTTTAATCCTTTTTCCTTTTTGAACATGTATTTCCCTTTTTCTCACATACATTGTATATTTTTTAATCCTTGGGCAATTTGTTGTACACGTTTAATATTTTTAAGATAAATAAATTGTTGTCATATATATGTTTTGATGTCTACTTTTTTTATAAAGTTTGTACATTTTTCATATACATCTAAAACTTCTTTATACACATTCAAATACATGTTTTTGAACATTTTCTGATATATGTTGACATGTTTCAATTATATGTTGCAACATCTTTATAAATGATATGATGCTTTTTTCAATTTTATATACATTTTAAAAAACATCACGAACATATTTTTGAAACACGTGAACATCACGAACATAGTTTTGAACACACGAACATTTTTTTAAATATAACATACATTTTTTATGAACGGTATATTTTTTTGAATTACATAAACATACTTTTAGTTGTATAAATATTTGATATTTTGGAAAGGCGTGGGCATTTTTCAATATCACAAACATTTTTTTGAATGTTGTCGGCATTTTATTAAAATTGTGCTAACAAAATGTTCATATTGAGTCAACATTCAAAATTGTTTAAAATCAATACTCCTCGCGATTTTAAACAACTTAAGTACATTTTAGTTCTGGAATATATGTATTTAATTTTTTCTTCAAATATATATAAACAATGAATGAATGAGAAAATGGGGAAGAAAAACAAACCAGTAGAAAGCTACTTGGCTCGACCCAACAATACGCTCGCTTGAGGCTGCCTGCCTTCGCTTCCATCTCGCATCAAGAGAGATCTAGCACATCAACTAACTAAGTTCTACCCCTTGCGGGCCTCCGGCAAATGTCACTTTTACGGCTTGGGAGCATGCCAAGTGGAGCGCCCAGCTGCCGCCACGTGTTGTATATACGGCGTTTCATCTGGATTATTTTGTATGTGTTTCTGGATTTAGATTGTTTTTCGAGGTTTTTCATCTTTTCGGTTTTCGCCTATTTTTCCGTAGGTTTCAGAGAATTTTTTGTGTATTTTTTTGTGAAGCAGGGTTATGCTTTTCCAAAATAGAAAAAATATGTGCTTCCACGAAAAGCACATATTTTCTTTTCTTTCGCGAGAAACATAATTGTGCTTCTTGGAGAAATAAGTGCTTTAACAAGAAGCACAAATTTGGTTCTCATGAAAGCACAAATTTGCTTCCACAAGAAGCACAACTTTGCTTCCCGAAAAAAAAATTAATGTGCTTCCGCGAGAAGCACAACTGTGCTATTTGTAAATTAAAAATAATAATTTCATGAGAAGCATATATTTGCTTCTCATGGAAGCATAGATTTTCTTCCGTGAGAAGAACAACTATGCTCCCGAGAATTTTTTTTTTGTGCTTTGAAGAAAGCATAGATTTGCTTTACGAGGAATGTAGTTGCGCTTCTCGAAAAAGAGGAAAAGGTGAAAAACTATAACCATGCTTCCGACCTTCGTTTTTTGTTGTGGTTTTTTCGTCTTTCATTTTTTTGTGGATTTTTCGGCATTCTTTTTTACCGGTTTTATCCCAGTATCCGGTTTTTTCTTGAAAAATCAAGTTCGTCGAAACATATTAGTATGGGATCTAGTTTCAAAAATCTCGATGAGGGAAATTTAATGGTGAAAATGGTTGGGTTTTGGACGCATGATTCAAGAGATAAAACGTTTTGAATTGAAGAATCTATGAGAAAAAAAACTTCTAGGTCACAACAAGTGGCGCAGCGCCACTTGTTGACGTCTGAAAAGGTAAGGAGTGACCTTTATAAGGGTAACTTTTAACTAGTGATTTCGGAGATAAAATCGCGCTCGAAAAGCACAGATGTTCGTTTCTCGCCTTCAGCGACACATTGTGGCCAATTCACATGGGAGGGCGAGCCCCAATAGTACTCCTATGATTGGGCCTTTTCACTAAGAAAAAAAATATTCTTGTGCCATTTCATTCGGTAAGAAAAAAAGGTTTTGAAAACCAATTAATGTTCGCTTCACCGAGAACCGACTACATTTAAAAAAAATTAAGACAATGTACTTTTACAAAAAATAACATTCTTGAATTAAAAAAAGTTCTTGGATTTAAAAAATATGACCAATTTTATGAAATCGCCGATTTAACAAACAATCATAATGTTTAAAAATATATATGATATTTGCTTATAAAATTCACAAATATGATACTGCTCTTTCTCTAGCCAGTACACGCCAATTTAATGTTATTTTATGATACTGGTCTTCCTCTGGACAACACACGCCAAATCCTGCTACGAGCTGCTCTTCGTTCGCTCCATCCTCGATCCTCACTGGCGGCTAATCTAGCTTGGGCTCTGCTGCTAATTAAGGTTTTTATTTGGCTTTCCCTCCTTGATCGTTGTTGGATCACAGCCAGGCTCGCGTAGCAAAACATCTCACATGAGGCCTCCTGCATGCTCTACGATCAGGAACCAGAGCATGCAACATCTCTTTGGTGGCAGCTCATTCTCGCACCATGTTTGGTACGACATCTTATCCTGGTGTAGACTGCCGATCACCCCGCCCACCTCGGACACTGAGTTCATCGATAGACTGGTGGACCTTTGCGCGCAAGGGGCTCAACTCCATCTTCTCGCTCACTGCATCGGAACTATGGAAACATCGCAATGGTTGCACCTTTGATGACCTGTGCCGCTTTGTTCGCCAGCTAACCAAGATCATCCGTCGGATCCTGATTCTTGTACTCCTCACGTGTTCGTTATACGCTATCACCTGTGTACATAGTCCGGGGGAGGGGAACGGACGATAAGTGGAGGGAAAGGGACGAGCGGAGCGGTGAGTGAAGTGAAGTTAGGGCTTGCTCCAGATGAGGATTTTTTAGTGAGGACAAAGTGGGGTCTGTGCGGTCATAGTGGTCCGGGCTGATGTGACGGACGCGTCCAAAACTCTTTATATCCGTCCTAAATTTGAGCTGGGTTTGAGGGATGCCAGTCAGCCCGGACATCCGCGCTGGTTTGGGAAGCCTGGCCAGGTTACATTTTTGTGACCGGGCTCTAATCGGGCCGTCTGCCCGGTCAGTTTGGTGACGTGTGTGGAAGCCGGCGCAGAGCCATGAAGGAGCAATTGTCTTCAAATGCAACCATGAAAGTTTTTCCACACGAAACTGAAAGGCGTCGGCTATTGCTTCCCATACGGAAAAAATGCTTATTTCACTAAAGCATAAGGGCCTCTTTGATTCGCAGGATTGTAAAAACATGGGAATAGGAAAAACATAGGATTGAAATGTCATGCTCATCTCAATCCTATAGGATTTTAGGTTGTTTGATTGCATCATAGGAAAAACGAAGGATTCTTTCAAAGAGGTTTGACTGGATGCTAGAAATCCTATGGAAAGTAGTACAAAAAATTCCTTAGGAAAAAATCCTATAGGATTCAATCCTATGAATCAAACAACCAATATAGGAAAATTTTCTAAGGATTCTAATCCTTCAAAATTCCTATGCAAATCCTTTGAATCAAAGGAACCCTAAATTACATACTACCAAGTTGACCTATAAAGAGTTGTGAGTGCTACTCGCGGCTGCATACCTTTAGCATGTTGGTCAGAGCACCTGCAGTGCATGGGGGCTACTGAAATCCGAAGATCGCAATATCTCACGAGATATTATTCAGCCACGGCTAACTACGGAGATAACGCTGTTTCCATGCGCATTACCGCCACCGAAACATTATCCCGTGGCTATCGCTCAGCTCGAAGATGATGATATCAACCGACTGATCCAGCGGTCCGCCATTGCATTTCAGATATGCATGAAGCGTCATCTACCCCGCCATCAGGGGGTCTTCTCTCCCATCTCCCAGTACCTCAGTGCAGCTGTGTTTGTCCTCCACTAGGAAGGAGCTGGGCCGAATCTCAGTCATGGCCACCGTCGTCCTAACCTCGGCAGCAGGTACGATACGAGACTCCTTTCCGCGCTCCGCCATCGAGCTCGATGGGTTTGAGTTGCACCGCATCACGCCGCGCGCCGCCGTCGGCCGGACAAGGACGACGCCTTTCCCGGCCAGATTATAAAACCTCTTTCTCGAGGCGATACGATCGGAACCGGGGCAATGCAACGCGCACGATCCTCTAGTGCGCCGCGCTGCTGTAATGCAACAGACTGCACCAGAGAAATAGAAACATGGCATCGACTAGGGGAAAAGCACGGAGAGTGACCGCTGGGAGAATGGCGCCGTGTCTATAGGATTGGCTTATTTTAGCCTGTCCTGCAAAGCTCATGGCCTGATTCACTTTGTGCTCAGCCGCCTCTTCCGTCGGTTTGTACAAGTGTGGTACGCACACGGGTACGTGCTACTAGCAACTAGTGTCATTTCATATTCTGAAATGAGGAAAACTAGTGTCATTTCATCAGTTTGTATGATCGTGTCAAACATATATGTATGCACAGGTACAAGATGATGGATGCCGGTCTACTCTCCGATGATCATAAGCCGGTTTTTATTCTGACCTGAACGCCGCGGGTCAGAAGTTTATGCATCATCTTCTGTCCGCGGAAAATAATAACCAACGCTATAGACAAGAATGTAGTTACTAGGATATAACTAATTCGATGGTATTGTCAGGTTAAATCTGATCATACTCGGCTACTCGCCCAGTTCGATAAGTCCAGCTGCTCCGGAGCTCTTTCATAGACGCTCGTTTTAAACCTGTTCAGAAAGTTTGGTTGTTTTGTTTTCTTCAGGTGGCTCATCGGAGTCTGTCTCGTTCAATGGATGTACTTTCGTTTTCAGCTCGGCATCCCCCCTTTTGTCGTCATCATCGTCCGCCTGCTTGAAGCTGGCGAGGCTGGCCATCGTGTCCACGGCGTCGACCACGCTCTCGATCCTCGTCGATATCTCCGTCAGCAGCGACGCCACAGTGAAGAGCGGCATGGCGTCGATCAGTGACGCCTCCCCCGGCCCCCCGGCCAGGGTAAACGGGAGCTCCCGCATGTCGCCCTGCAGCTCGTGCACGGCCGTGTTCATGTCTGCCACGGCGAAGTCCAGCGCCGGGGAGGTCGTCATCGTGGCGACGGAGCTGGACGCCTCCCTCAGAACCCGCCCGCACTGCGCGCCCAGCCTCGTGCACACATCGGCGAGGAGCCGCTTGACGCTCTCGGGGGCCTGGACCTCGGCGCCGACGCAGCTGTTGAGGGTCTCCACGCAGTACGCGCAGTGGCGCATGGCGGCGCCGAGCTTAGTGTACTGGGCGTAGGGGTGGCGGAAGCCGAACTTGCCGTGCGCGGGCTCCCACCGCGCCAGGTTGGCCTGCGAGTCCTCGGACGCCTTGGAGTTGAGCACGCACTTGTAGCCGTCCGACTTGGCCTGCGCACTCTTCGCGCCCTCCTCGGCGAAGTAGTCCTCGACGCAGCCCTCCACGGCGGCCGCGAGCTTCTCCATGTTGCGCACCGTGAGCTGGTGCAGCTCCTGGCCAGCCCACACGGGCCAGATGAGCACGCAGACGGCGAGGCAGATGAAGATTCCGATGGCTATGGTGAGAAGCCGCTGCTGCGCCAGCGCCACCAGCTCGTCGACGCGGTACCCCGACACGGCCACCAGGCTGTATGTCAGGATGAAGATGGTCACGCCGTAGTCGAACCGGGCCTTCACCGTCGGTATGAACCGCGAGAAGGTGGCTGCCGCAGCTGCACGCGCACACATAGATAATTATTAGTACCTGTGGCAGAAAGCGTGGCCGATTTACGAGTGCGCACGAAGGTTTATAGTACGTACCAAGCAGAAAGAGGGAGCCACAGGTGATGACCGGCTCGAGCTTATCGCCGGACTTGCTCGCCACCCAGTTCACGCCCAGCGCGAGCACGCCGGCGCTCGCCGTCGCCACGGCCCTGTTGAACCCTTTGTACACGCTGCCGCCTACACGTCCATACACAAATAAAATCAGCGACCAAACCAAGAGTACGTGAATACATGCATGCTGAAGACATGCGATTGCAGCTGATCCGTTTTGTAATTCTACTAGGTGCGACTTACCAACAGTGTACTCGAAAATGACGACGACGGTCATGATGGCCCACATGGCAGCCCCTCCGACGCCGTCGTACAGAGGCCTGGTGTAGTAGAAGACGGAGACCAAGGTAAGAGCAACGCCGACTTTGAGGCCGTGCACCACTTTCCTCGGATCATCGGCGCCAATCTTCCACACCTTCTTGGCGAAGCCGGACACCGTGGCTCCGAGCATGAGCACGGAGGCGACCATCGACGCCCAGGCTCTCCCGGCCGGCCCGGCTTCGTACTCCACCGTCACCGACGCGCCCTCCGGCACCGTCACCCGCCACTCCAGCCCACTCTGCGGGTCCCTCGCGGCGGCCTCCATGATCACGGCAGAAGAAGCAAGTCCAGACGAGTCCCTCCCTACTGCAAGCGTGCCAAGAAAATGCGGCCCGGCTGGCCGGCTCTAGTATGGTATATATAGGTTGACCGCTGCTTGTAGCCTCGCTTCTGCGTCACTTATTCTGTTGGAATTATGCTACGAGCTGACAGGAGGAGGGAGAAGGGGAGCAACGCAACGTTCCAAGGAAGGAACGAGGGAAAGGAAAGGCTGCCGGGCGAATGATCTCCCTGTCTTGGAATGTTGTGAGACACCAGGGGACTTGCTTATATAGGGACGAAGTTTTCCGAGGCACTCCAATGGACTTTGACGTGGGGCCGGGCTTCGCATTTGTCAGGGTGGAGATTGGAGACGACCGACCTCGCGCACGATACGTGCGTTTTTCGGCAAAAGGAAAACAAAGGAAAAGGGGGCAAGTGCGTCGCCAACAGGGTGGATGGAAATGGAGATGTGGTACGTACAGATCGAGTGCGGTTTCTCCACACGATCACGTTTTTTTTTTTTTTGAAAGGAGCACCGAGCACACGATCACGATCGATCTGCTTGTCTTTGCCTGAGGGCGATCCTAGATTCCTGATCACTGCTTCCAGTCGTAGGAAAACTGACACATTCTCCACATCTATTAGTTTTTTTTTCTCGAATACGCACGAGTGTGCGTATCATATATTATAAAAGGAAAGTGTAGAAACTCTTCGCACTTGATGTTACAATGTTATGTACAAATGACTCGACGGTCACCCCACCTGCCTATCTCGCTAATGAGGACTACTCGCTACTCTCCCACAATGCAAGGCCAACGAAGAACGTCTCGACTTCCCCTCACAGTAGTCCTGCCTGCTTCCAAGCCCTGGCCTCGCTTCCTATGCTCTTGAGCACCGCGAGTGTGGATGGCGCCGCTCCGTCAAAGACCACTGCATTACGGTGTGTCCACAACTTCCATTAGTTGTGTGAAGCACTATGTTTCTTTATGTGGAGTAGAAATTTTTTGGACAATCATGCTATGCATGTGCTGGAATGTGAGGGAAATTGGTTAAGATAAAAAAAACGATTTTTAGAGAGATGATTTGTGATAGGAAATTCGATTTTGTTGGTCTTCAGGAGATCATTAAAGCTGTTTTTTTCTAAAAAAAATTCAAAACAGAGACAAAAGTTTTGCCTCATTGATTAATTAAGAAGAAAAGAGTTGCCCAGCTAATTACGGAAAACCGGACGAAAACCGATACAAACAACTCATACGTGTACTACTCACGAAGTACAAAACATAATCTTTGTGGTCGGAGAAATTTTGCTGGTCTCTGTACGCGGGCGATCCTGAATTCCTACATCTGCTTGTCTAAAATCGATCTGTTTGTCTCTGCCTGCTGACTGCTTCGATTAGTTACTTGTTAGTTACCGCGTCGCATCAGCCGTTTCGTCCTTAGCCAATTCGATCCTGAATCTGTAGCACGACAAATTCGAACCATCTAGAGATTTGCTGCTACGTAATTGTCAGTTACTCAAGTCTTTGAGACCGATAGGGACGCTGCACAGGACACGCATGTAGTTCGAACTTGTTGGGCACAAACTCAATCGCGAGATCGATATATAGACGCCAGCAATATGAGCTCCGCCCGGCGATGATACAGGAGCATGGTACTAGTAGATCTCCCGTGGCGGCTTTGCTCGGTGAAATCGAGCGCCTACTCAAGGAGACAGAGAGTTTAATTATTACTTTTTATTATTATTCGAAACGAAGACAAAAAATGTGCCTCATCTATTAATTAAATAAAGCGAATTGTCCAGTTAATTAATGAAAAATCGGGCAAAAACCATCACAACCGCTGAGCGGCACACATAAGAGACCCACACGCGCCACTCCAAAGAGGGTCTCGTCGAGACAGCACATCGTTTAATTATTTTTCAACATACAGGAAAACAGACGCAGTCGACGGGAATGTCTTCTCCCACTGAACGCATATAGCCGTAAGGCCTGAAATAAATCCAGAAAAATATGAGCACTAGTTTAAGTAGGACTTAGATCGTGATGGGGGTGGAGATACCATTGTCCTTGTGTTAGACTGTATTTACATGTGTATATTGTAACGTTGTATACCACCTCATTATATATATATATGTGATAGGTCACCCCTAGAGGGTCGTGCCGGTTCTCCCCAAAGCCTATTGTCTTACATGGTATCACACTAGGTTACGTCCGCTTCCGCCTTAAAACCATAAACCGCCGCAGCCGCGCCCGCCGCCGCCGTCGCCCGACTGCTATGACGTCCGCCGCTGCGTCCGGCTCCACCGCCACCGGTTTTCTGCCGGCCTCCCTCGCGACACTTCTCTCGAGGCCGCTGGATGCCGCCTCCCTTCAGGCGCCGATCGGGACACGGAGCGTCGGCTCCCTCTTCGCGCTCCCGCTGGCTGCTACTTCGCCCGGGCAGGCGCTTGTGGCTCACACCACCGCCGCCCCGTCAACCGCGGCTGTCGCGCCCTCGGCCACTGCGCCGCTGGTGGCGGAGGACGTCGCGCTGGCAGGCTTCGCGGCGTCAACCGCGGCCATCGCGCCCTCTGTCACCGCGCCGGCTGCCGCTCCGACTGTCTCCACGGTGTTCTCACCTCAGCCAGTCTCCTCGATGGGATCGCAGCCGCCGCCGCCGTTTCACTTCAGCCATCTCATCACCATCAAGTTGTCGTCGGACAATTACATCTTCTGGCGCGCGCAGGTTCTTCCGCTTCTTGGGAGTCACTACCTGCTCGGCTATGTCGACGGCTCTCTCCCTTGCCCTCCTGCGCTGGTTGACAACGTGCATGGTCCGGTCTATAATCCGGCTCACCGTGTCTGGACAGGGCAGGATCAGGCGAACCTCTCCTCCATCCAGGGGTCGTTCTCTCCGGCCGTTGCTGGGCTTGTTGTCTTCGCCAAGACGTCCCACGAGGCATGGACTATTCTTGAGCGCTCGTTTGCGGCACAGTCGCAGGCTCGTGTATCTGGGCTCCGTCGCCAACTTGGGGAGTGTCAGAAGCTTGACTCCACCGCCACTGAGTTCTACAACAAAGACAAGAGTCTCGCCGACACGCTGGCCTCCATTGGACAGCCCCTCACCGACTCCGAGTTCAACTCGTTTATTGTCAATGGTCTTGATGAGGAGTATGACGCCCTAGTCGAGATCATCAATGAGAGGGGCAACTCCACGCCCATGCCAGCACACGAGGTTTTTTCACGCCTCCTGCTTACTGAGCAACGAGTCGAGACGCGCCGATCCAGGGGCAACGGCGCCCTCTCGGCAAACGCCGCCACCAAGGGTGGTCGCTCCTCTGCTTCATCCAGGGCTCCTTCGGGGCAGTCACCACCACCCGCCTCGGCCCCTCCTCCTACTGCGACGCTACCAGGGGCTGGCGGTTCCCGTGTGTGCCAGCTTTGTGGTCGCGATGGGCACTGGGCCTCGAAGTGTCACAAGCGCTTCCAGCGGGGTTTTCTTGGTCTTGGCAATGACGGGAAGGATACACGCAACTTTGCTCGCCAGGTCGCCATGGCTGATCGTCTGCCGCCGCAGAAGCCACAGGGACACACTCAGTCCTACTCCATTGATCCCCACTGGTACATGGACTCTGGGGCGACAGAGCACCTGACCAGTGAGATGGGGAAGCTTCACACTCGTGAACCCTACCATGGCTCCGACAAGATCCACACCGCCAATGGAGCAGGTATGCACATCTCTCATATTGGTCAAGCATCACTTCTCACTAGACATGCCAATAGGAGTCTTCAACTTCGCAATGTTCTTCGAGTTCCATCTGTGACACGTAATCTTCTTTCAGTTTCTAAACTCACTCGTGATAATAATGTGCTTTGTGAATTTCATCCTTTTGATCTTTTTATTAAGGATCGGGGCACGAGGGACATTCTTCTTAGTGGGCGGCTCTGCCAAGGTCTCTATCGTCTGGAGCATCCTGGCGTCGCTCGCGTCTTCAGTGGAGTTCGGGTATCTCCGTCACAGTGGCATGCTCGTCTTGGTCACCCGGCCACACCTATTGTCCGGCATGTTTTGCGTCGTCATGAGCTTCCTAGTGTGTCTAGTAATAAAGATGTAGCAGTGTGTGATGCTTGTCAGCAGGGGAAGAGTCATCAACTTCCTTTTTCGGAGTCCAGTCGTGAGGTGAAACATCCTTTAGAACTTGTGTTTTCAGATGTATGGGGTCCTGCTCAGACTTCTGTTAGTGGTCATAATTATTATATCAGTTTTGTTGATGCTTACAGCCGCTTTACCTGGCTTTATCTTATCAAACGTAAATCTGATGTGTTTGACATTTTTGTTCAGTTCCAAAAACATGTTGAACGCCTTCTCAAGCACAAAATTGTTCATGTTCAGTCGGACTGGGGTGACGAGTATCGCAACCTCAACTCCTTTTTTCAGTCGCTTGGGATCACTCACCGTTTAGCATGTCCACATACACATCAACAGAATGGTTCAGTAGAACGTAAGCATCGTCACATTGTTGAAGCTGATCTGACTCTTTTGGCCCATGCATCTGTTCCGTTTCGTTTTTGGAGTGATGCTTTCACCACTGCATGTTTTCTCATCAATCGTACTCCCACTCGTGTTTTGAATATGAAGACTCCCATTGAAGTTCTCCTTAATGAACAACCGGACTACACCTTTCTCAAGGTGTTTGGGTGTGCTTGCTGGCCCCATCTCCGTCCATATAACAAGCGTAAGCTCGAGTTTCGTTCCAAGAAGTGTGTTTTTCTTGGTTATACACTGGTGGAAAAATGGCCTTTGGTCGCGGTTCGCAACTGCCATTAGTCGCGGTTGCGCAACCGCGACCAGACGGGCGCGACTAAAGGCCCCCCCTTTAGTCGCGGTTGCTTAAGAACCGCGACTAAAGGCCCGTCCACGTGGGCGGAGGACCTTTAGTCGCGGTTCTTGTGGCTAACCGCGACTAAAGGCCGCCACAGGTTTTTGAAAAAAAAATTGAATTTTTTTTTCAAATTTCTGAATTAT